GGTCTTATCTGTTTCAGGAACAGCTCGAGTCTAATTCAATAGGTGGACCGCAGCAAGGATTTGCAGAGAAACACTTTTTCGTAGCACCGATTCCCGAGTTGAAAAAGAAATCATCGGCCATGTATTTCCGAAAATAAAACTAGCACTAAAATGAAATTGCAAAGAAAACTCAAATATCCAGTATCAAAATTGAAGTAGTTGTGCTGTTTTTCTTTTTAATCAGAAAAGACGAAGAAACGCAATAAGAACTGAACAATTGAATTTTTTTCAGATTTTTAAGAATAATTAAGCGAGCGGTGGTGAAGTGGGTACGTCTCCGCCTCTCAATCGAGAGGTCTGATGTTCGAGGCCCACCATGATCCGTGCTCCTTGCTTGAGGGTGAAGCAACATTACCCAGCACAGAAAAATAGCCAAAAAAGTGCATGTAGTTCTTAAACAGGGGCACAACAGCGGTTTGCCGTGATGAGCTGTACAGCTCTTGTGTTGGTCGTTTCCCCCGTGGATAAATGGTCTCAATAACTTAATAATAATTTTGCTCTATTTGCTCACTTTAAAACCCATATTTCAGTCCGTGCGCAAAATTCGCATACTTTGCAAATGATGGCCAAAAAATCTTTTGATTCAATCTTTTTCTGAAACTTCAGTTGACAGCGATAATCCAACGCAAGCATTCAACTGAGGAGGGTTTTTAGAAAACAACGACGAATCATCTCTAGATTACTCAATTTAGTCGAAAAGCGCAGCAGAACTGAAAATCATTTCGTATCAAACCGTCTTTTGCTATTGCCGGAACTGTACAAAACTAAATTAGAATTTTGTTCCAACTTTTCAAGAAATTGAAAAAAAAAAAATTGCTGGAATGATTTTTTCTCGAGAAAACTTTTGATATTTTTTCAAGGAACAGTTTTTGAAGGATTTTCCATGTGCTTGAAAAATATTAATGCAATGAGCTCAAATGTAAAAGATTTCTCATGAATGTTTTTTTTAACAGAGTAATGGGATTTGAAAATAATGAGACAGTTAAAGCGCCAAATTTGTTGTTCTGTTAATGCGTAAGCATGATTTAGTTCGGCTCAAATTAGACAAGATATTTGGCAGATCATAATAGCTGCAGATGCGAGAGCTACTATTTTTTAGTTTAAATAGCGCTTAGGAAAAGTTTTGAAAAATTTTGAAAACATTTTCAAGTCTTATCTATTTTTTCATGGACGTTTGAAACTACTTCGCAGATGTAAACACGATGAAAAATTTACTGATTTTTTGGGTATTTTTTGTTATTAGGCGTATAAATCAGGGGCGGATTTAGGGGGGGGGGAGGCGGTGGGCGGACGCCCCCTTCTCAGGGATTCGACCCTCTGCCGACCCAAAGGGTCCCCCCTTGGTACTTTTTAAGAAATCCATTTTTGGCGGATCGATTCTAAAAATTTTCTAAAGGCGCCTTTGGCGCCAATATATCCTCATTTTGAGGAGAAGCACGCGCCAAAAAAAAAGTTCCCAAAAACGGCTTTTTTGACCTGTTTTTCAAAATTTTGCCTGCGGCGCACAAAATTGGCCCAGAACAGCGTCTTTTTAGTGCTTTAGAAAAGCTCGGAAAATCTATTTGGTCAACCTAAAAAAAAAGCCACAGCAAAACATTGTCAAAAGAGCAATCGCCAAAATTCCAGCACAATGAAAAATTTTAATAACGTAAACTCAAAATCAAATTTAAATTGAAATCAAATTGAACCAAAATTCAAAACCAAAATTAAAATAGGTAGAAGTTATTGAGAAAGATGTGTGTAATTAAATTTGCAAAAGGCGCAAAAGTGTTTTAATAACAACTTGCTATTTGGCATTTTTCTTGTGCAGTATTTACAAAATTAGTCACCGGGTTTCGTTGGCGGCCAGAAAGTCAATTTACCCGTTTCAATTGGTTACACGCACACATATATACACAAACACACGCACACAAACCCACACACACACACACACACACACACACACACATATATATAGAGAGAGTTTCGGGTTGAAGAAAAATGCTTATCATGCAGTTTCATGTATGAAATCTATGGAAAAAAAAGCTTATCATAGAAAATTCATACAAAATATGAAAAATGTTTTAAAAATTTTAAATCAACATTTTTGGTTTAATTGCATCTTTTGAAGATTTCTGGTCATTAAAAATGATTTGAAATTTTTGATGAAAATTGCTTGTCATACAGTTTTCATGTATGAAATTTATAAGATATGTCTGGGTAACTTTAAATATATTTAAATAATTATATCTATGATAGAGGGCATTTTGACAATCAAAAACAAAATTTTAATTTCGGTCTGAAAAATGCTTATCATAAAGTTTTCATAAAAGAAAATTGTGTGATCTGCATTTTTTTCATAAACAAAAACAAAAACTTTGGGTAAAAAATTTTTAATCCCTTTTTTGGTTGCAAACTTGCATTTTTTGCTAAAATATAAATTGAACGAAAAAAAATTTTTGCATGCAAAAATTGAATTTTTGTGTTTATAACGTAGTCCAGGATGAGTTTTTCACCCAAAAAGTCCAAAATTCATAAGAATGTGTTTTTTTTGTAAACACGATTATTATCTTTTGTTTCATTTGCTAAGATAAAAACATATTTTTAAAAAACAGGCCTTTTCTCTCAACCACCAAAATTTTTAAACTAAAAACTATCTAGCCATATTCGAAAAGTTATTTTTTTTGGTATAATATTCCAGGTGAAAATTTTAAGCTAACTTCATTTTTTGTTATTTGTTGTTATTTTTTGTGGTTAGCACTATGATTTATAGCGCCAAAATTGGTTTAAAAGATTTGCTAAAATCACAGATATTTTGTAACTTTCCTCAAAATTTGAAACAAAAAACGTTATTATAGTCAGAGGATCTCGTTTCCAGTTTGTGAAGTTCGCAAACAAAATTCGATTCCGCGACAGCATAATCCACTGCACACAATAAATGTTATTTAAGAAATCCACAAAATGGTCTTGATTCCACAAATTTTACTGTAGTTTCTGCCAATGTAGCTACTTTTGAAGCAATTCGAAACGCTGCAAGGTTTTAACCATTTGTCTAAAAACTCCGCAACAGCAAAAAGATCAAGAATAAATAACCTTGATATGGATTGCACAACAAAACCGTTTTTTTTCCAATTGCGCAATCCGTTCTTATTTCACAAAATACACAGTTTGGCATGCAATTATAACACAAGATTGATAAACTAAAGAAAATGAGCTTCACAAATTATATTTAATAATCAAGAAACTTATGGTAATTTTAGCTCACGTTGATGAATATTTATTTCCAAGCAAAAATTTCTAAAAGAAAAACTGAAAACAAAACTGATTTCAATTTATTATTTTTACAACAAAGTTATCCGGCTGCTCAGAACGCTCTAACCGCGTTCATCAAAATTACAAAAAAGCTCGGGATGACCGAAACTTCTTATCATACAATTTCCATATATGAGAAACTTCTTGTCATACAATTCCATACGTACAGAAAATTGTATGAAATCTCTATGATAAACATTTTTCCATAAATGAAAATTGTATGATAGGTGTTTTTCCATAAACCAAAAAGTTTGATTTTTTCTTTCTAAATTTATTTTCTGACAATTTTTTGGTTGTGTTTGCCGCCGAACACAAGTGACAAAACTTGGTTACTCAAAGCACCTAAGGTTGGACGGTCTTGGCATTTACAATGCACAGAAAACGACCTGAGTTCGGCTGTCTTTCACAATTGATATAACAAAAGTAACAAACTTTTAATTTTTGGCAAAATTTTTTAATGGTGATTATTTTAAATTTTTGAATTTTCAAATTATCAGACATTGATCAAGGCATATATAAACACCCCATACAAAGGAAATAGGAGTTTTCAGCGTTTTTGAAGAAAAAGAAATTAAGTCAAAAGAAAATAAAAGCCAATATTATCGTATCCAGGACTACGTTATGCACACAAACATTAAATTTTGCATGCAAAAAAGTTTTTTTCGAAAAATGTTTGTTTGCGTACGAAATTCGATTTGCGGTTGAAAAAAAAACAAAAAATTTTTGGGCCAAATTTTCAAAATTACTTCAAAATTACTCGCCATCAAAAAATGCCAGTCATACAATTTCCATATATGGGAATTGTATGATAAGCATTTTTTTTCAAAAAACGAAAACCTCCGTTTTCTTTTACCAGACTGTTTTATTAGAATCAAACAGTCACAGAAATAAGTTTATATCTTTTTTCAACCATTTTTAGAAAAAATTGTATGAAAATTGTATGACAAGCATTTTTCCACACACTTGATGTATGGAATTGTATGATAAGCATTTTCGGTGTATGGAGGTCAACCCGGGAGAGGTTTGTTTTTTCTTTTGCATTTTTTTCTTTTGTATTTTTGTGTAAGTGTGTTTCTGTGATTTATAAGATGGGAGATTTCTACAAACGCTTGAAACTTTAGTGAAATAGGAATAATCGAAATAGTTTTTCTGCAAAATTGATTCACAAACAAAAACAAAAAAGTATTTAAAATTCTTAAAACATTTCTATATATCTTTTCAAAATGTAACTTTTCGAAGTATTTTTGAAAAGTTTCTTTAAATTATTCATTAAAAAAATGTTCTCCATGCTGGCAAAATTACTTTTCCTGGAGCAAAAAAAAGGTTTTTCACTGAAATGAAAAAAATTTTCTATTAAAAAAACGACTTGCTCAGTTTTTCTCGACACAATTTTTTTGAATCTTTTTTAAATTTTGTTCCAACCACGACTGATAAAGCTTTCGTAAGATGTATTATAAGACCTATAGCGATGATCATTTGTGGTACTTGATTTTGCGTGGAAAACAAAAAAACTGAAGCACACCCGAAGATAAACTTCTTCTCCATTTACAATGATCGAAATACAAATATATGGGTTATCTACTTAACAATTCCCCCCCCCCCCCCAGCCTATGGTACCTACTTATTGTAAAATGCTCATGATTGTTTTTTGTTAATCTTAATCTACTCACTCTGATGTGTAGATTTGTTCAGATCCGATCGAAAGGATGGGAAATAATGCCAATAAAACAAACATCGCTGGACTGGACCAAGTTGTCATTTTCGAAATTATTAGCCACTTGTAAATATTGTATTAGGAACCAAACAAATAAATAATGGAGTAAATATCTGAAAATATATAGAAGAGATTAAAATGGTAAATGAAACGGAAGGATCCAATTTGTTCAAGTAGTGATTGAAGTCTCAATCAAAATAATGCACTCTCTTGTTATATTGAAGTATACACAATGTTTATAATAATATAGGACAAAGGGCTTGTATTCAAATCGAATAAGACTGAGAGGATTCGCCTCCCAATGTAACTATAATAAGAGCTCAAAAATGGATGGGGGGGACCTTTATGAGCCACGAATTAATGACAGTAGCGTGTAGCGGCTAAACGCGAAATTGGGGCATCCAATTGCAAAAGAAGGTCAAAACTTTGCTATCTTACTGTAGAAGCTCAGGAAACTACTCTAAACCTTCTCCTGCACTTAATTGATAATTACAGGCTGACTTGTCCGACTGTAATAGAATGCATAAGAAGAAGGCTAAGTAAAGTAACCGCACGGACTACCAAAGAAATAAACAATGAAAGAAAGACTAATTGCAACGAAAGCACATGACGGGAAATTGAGAAATTTCAAATAGCTACAAAAGGGAATTTTTCCCATTATTGTTTTTTTTTTATGTTAGCGGACTGTGATTCTGTAGAGAAAAGAATGTAAAATTGTACTACTGAAAAGAAATATTGCAGAAACAAGGCAAAATTTTTCAAGGTGCCTGTTACTAAGATCATTCAGAAATCAGAATATAAAACACATGTGTCGTTTTTTCTATTTACTTCTTAATTATTAAATAAAACTCCCATACAATAATTGTGCTCGGGTGGTTTTTTCACGTAGCCAAAGTTTTCTTTTTAACTAGCCAATTTTGTTTTAATAAATCTAGGGCAGTCAAATAGTACGTCTAGCAGTTTTCCGCAAAAAAATACTATCAATTTTTTTGGAAAAATTTGTTCGAAAAAAATTAAGCGCAAGTGTCTAGCCTAAGAGAGCATATCATCAATCTTAGGGCAGATTTAGAATTTTCTCGTCGAGAGCGGAGGCGGATTTTCAAAAATTTTGTCGATAATATTTTTGTCGACCTTTTTCTATAGGTCGACTAAATTGATTTTTCTGAGCTCTCCTAAATCACTATAAAGCCCCCATTTCGACCAAATTTTGCCAGCAATTTTTGGAAAAAACAGACCCCCGCACCTAAATTCATCGCGTATGGAGATCCAGGGGCGAATCTAGGAATTTTTCAAGGGGGACCGATTTTCAAAAAATTTCGAAAATTTTGTGGACCTTTCTTTTAGGTCGACCAAAATGATTTTCTGAGCTCTCCCAAATCAGTATAAAGACCCCATTTTGACAAAATTTTCTGCGCTGCAGGCCAATTTTTGAAGAAGAAAAAAACAGGCTAAAAAAGGCGTTTTTAGGGACTTTTTTGAAAACGTTGACCAAAAAATCCCGTTTTTTCGACGCGCGCTACCCCTTCAAATCTGAAAATCAGCTTATGTAAGAAATGAAGAATTTCAGATCTTGCACAGAAAATCCCCTCGGTACGGGCGGATTTTCATCGTATTGCAGAAAAATCAAATCAAGTGAACTCGCATCAAATGACAGATAATCAATTTTCTTTTGATGAATTTTTTATTTGAATGCTTTTTTTTTCGATTGAGACCTCAATTGTGCTTACAAATAGATGCAATCTGCTGTGTTATATTGAATGCATTGCTGTGTTAGCATACAATGTAATGAGTTTTTTCAATAAATAATAACAAACTTGTGAATCAGTTTTTGTCCAACTTTTGCTTTCAAAGTGGCTTTCAGACAGTAAAATTGTCACAGAAGCTTTAAACGCGTCGTTGGTTCATGCGACCAATGCTTGAATACTTTGCTGGACCACAAACGGATAAATTCGAACGGATATTGCTGGGGGCTGCAGAGACGCATAGACTGAAAAGCTAGGAGGGAATAAATTAAAACTGCGTGTTCTTTCTGTAGACGTCAGTCCCAGAGGGAATTCATTCACAATTTACCAGTTCATTTTGAGTCTATGTTCCGCCTAATCCCAACGCAAGCTGAGAAAAAACCATGTATGTTATAAATCTGAACACCAGTGAAATAGAATATGGTCTCTTTTTTTTCCAAAAGACGATTTCTACTCAGATTTCAAAATCTATTCAAAACAAGGGAACTGCAGGTTTGAATGAAGAGTCTTTAATTTAAAAACTGCATAACTTTCGAGATCCTTTTGAGGGAGAAGGGATCTCTCTAACTATCCGCCCCCCTACCACCCTTTGGCACCTAGTAACGAATTGCCAACACTACATTGAACTAGTTCAACGGTTAATCTTTAATATGAACTTTTTTAAACTACTAATGACTCTCTCCCAGAGTTTGCAAAAGGGGGAGGGCAGTTTAAGACAGGGGCTGTAAACGTGGGGGAATTCACAATATCTCTAGGCCGGTCTTGTTCGCTATTTCACACCGCCGCAATATGTTCCCTTTAATACTGAGGTCAGCGGGGCAACCGATTCCCAGTACTGTTCACAATCCCAAAAGGGTTGATTTGGTGGTTGGCTGCTCACTACTGTAATGTGCTGCTCGCCCCGTGATTCGTGCTCTTCCGACTGTATCTCACTCGTCAATCAAAAATCGATCGCAACAACAATTCCAATAATAAGAATGAATTAAGAAAAGAATATAACCAAATACAGAGTAGCCTATAATTGGCTGAAATATAAATTAATCATTCAATTAAAGAAAGGGGTTCGCGATTACTATTATTTAAAAACCAACTGCCTTCTGTAGTTCAATTAACACCTCAGTACTAACTAACGTTCTCCTCGAGAACTTCTTTCAATATCAATCGTTCAACAACGATTCCGCTATCCTCTAGATACCCTAAATAACATTCTCTAACTAACTGAGAACCAACTATTCGATTCGCTCGCAATAATTCTTCTCTGACCGAGAACCAACTACTCTTAATAGTAGCTAACACTGTTTGACTCTTACAGGCTCTCAGGTACCCTCCAACTCCTTATCTTTCTTTACACTTAGTTTTAGTAAAGTCACGCCATTCCCTATCAGTCCTGACATCCACTTAAATCACCCGTCCGCACATGTTTTAAGACTTTATCCCTCCTCCTGTCAACTCTGCCACGTGCCAACTTCGCTTTCTTTTATCAATCTTTTCACACTTATTCGATACCCGAAATGCGGTAGCTGTCACAATTTGACCAAGCAAGCAAATGTCATACGATTCTAATCAACCAATTCCTGAACTCTGTCAACTTCAGCTTTCGAGTTCAACTCAACCTCCCAACCATGCTATGTTTACTCATTCTTTATTCCCAAGGTCTTTATTTTAATTATCCCGTTAACGTTTCCACCTCCCAAGGGTAGGGGGAGACCCTTTTTATGGGTAGCTAACTAATTTCAGGCATCTAAAATTTCTATCTGTACTCTATTCCAATCCCGACCTTCTAGCTATCAGGGGAACGTAGTTCGTCTATTAGGGGTCAAATTAAACCAAAAAGTCACCTCCGGAGAGCCAAGTAGATTTTCTGTCCACTCATACTATTTAGGAAACTTAACTCTCATGCAGCGGTCCTATTACACTCAATTTCTTCTGGGACTATATTTCTTTTAGTCTAGTTCAAATTCTATGAATAGCGCATTCGCCAAGTTAAGTTGAACCCAATGTTTACCAAGTCCACTTTAAATTAAGTCCACTACTCCAAGGTTGCAAGGTAAAACTGTATCTCTATCGGCTTCTGCTCTAAGTCCCAATATATAAGTTTTCCTCCTAATTTTTAGCAAGATGACCCGTTCTAATTTCGAGAGGTTGGGCTGGGAAATACGCCACTTTCCGGTGTAAATATTGGGGCTTTCAATGCAATTTTGAGGTCAAAAAGCCCAAAGTTCAACTTAAGGTCACCCAGGGGTCAACCGGGGTCAAACTTCCATATTTGGGTTTAGAATCCCATGGGGCCCTAACTACCAAGTTTCATCCATATCCCGTTAATACTTCCCATATTATCCCATTTCTAAGGTCCATTATCACTTTTTCCGGGAAAAGGCTATTAACACCGGAAGGAGTCACCGGAGGGTTTTCACTCACAAGGGGTCTTTTTTCGGGGTCCATATCTTATGTCCATTGCTGCAAAAAAATCGATATGCCCTCGCTCAAAATTTTGTGTAAATTGCCTATTTCCGGTCTAAGGGGGTGTTTTTCCAAATGCTAATAGCTTCCGGTCCAACCGCCGGATTTGACTCAAATTATAATACAAGATGTAACTTGCCACTACCTATCATCCCTCCAAGTTTCAGCTCCCTGCAATCATTGGTGGCCGAGAAACGACTTCCGGAAGTTAGGGGTGGGTTTGTTTACTTTGGGCATAAAACTGGAAGTGGGGGTCTGAGGGGTCTGGGTTTCCAAACTTAAGCTCCCCTTAACTAGGCCTGCAACATACTAGAATTTGAGCCCAACACCGCCGCTAGTTTCCGAGTTCTGATAGGTCCTTTTACACTTCCGGGGACCGTTATCACTTGCCGCCCAAGGGTCTGAGGGGTCCCGATTTTTTTATGCCCGGGTCGAATCAATTCTAGTATCGCTCCTCTGAATTTCATAACATTAGCTTTCATAGTTCCGATATGGGGGGGGGGGGGGGGGGTTCGCCGATTTTGTTAAATTTTAATTTCTGGAATAGGAGGGACGATATCTTCGAAGAATGAACTATTTTGAACTTTACCCTTTGTTTGCTGTACTACTTAACTTAATGACATATCGATCTTACGCTCAGGTTACTCTAGCATGTAATACACCAATTCTACAGGGGCGGATTAAAGGTGGGGGAGGGGTGTTGGGGCGGACGCGTTTTCTTTCAGGGATTCTCGACCCCCTGCCGATCCAATGGGTCGCCTCTTTGTATTATCTTGAGATATCTATTTTTAGTGATGAACCCTAAAAATTTTAAAAAAGGCGCCGCCGGCGCCAATAGCTACTAATTTTGAGGGGGTAGCGCGCGCCGACAAAACGCAATTTATTTGGTCAAAATGTTTCAAAAAGTGCCTAAAACGCCTATTTTGGCCTGTTTGTTTTCAAAATTTTGCCTGAGGCGCAGAAATTTTGACCAAAACAAGGTCTATTTAGTGCTTTGGGAGAAATCCAAAAAAAAATTGGTATCAATTTGGTCGATTTAAAAAAAAAATCGACAAATCTTCAAAAACATTTTGAAAATCCCGCTCGAGAAAATCCTAGATCCGCCTTGGTTTAAAAGGTCCCAAAGAAGTTCTAACGAGTGTAGTTTTTGGTCAGAAAATTTCTAAAATTTTTTTTGACTTGGGGCTATATTTTCATAGCAGGCAGAGGACGGAAAATTCTTTACTCAAAAGCATCCAAGCTGTCCAAAATTTCTAAACGAGACTGCTCGTATCAAGACAAAGCCCTGAATGTTCCCATTGCCTTTCAAGGTCTAGGGAGCAGTAATAACGTGAAAAAATTAAAGGTAAAAAAATGATTTTTTTTTAATTTTGAGATTATTTTGTGAAAAAAATTCCCCCACACTCCATATAAAATACAAAATGATAAATTTTGCTCGTAGTAGCATATCAATTATGGCAAATAATTACTCTTCATTCAACTAAATTTGAACGATTTCTACGACGGATTAAATCTCCGTTTCCGCGTTAATAGCTCTAAATATATTCATGAAATTGTCCCAAATTGGCTAAAATGACAATCTTTAAACCCTCGTAACTTTACGAAAAATGATTCCAGGTGAAATATCGTTTCAAATTTAAGCTCAAAACAACAATAATTTTAGAATGGTATAAAAAATTCCGTCAAAAAAGGCTTGTTAAAAAGTCGAAATTTGTCTGAAGAAAAAAACCCACCTCGAGCACAAATTTTTCGTTATTTTTGTTACGAAAGTCGGCACAAAAATAAAAGAAAAAATGAAATAAAGCTAACACACAACCGAACAGCTATGATCGAGCATCAATAAATTATAAACTTGAAGCCCACTTGAAAATGTTTTTGCTCATTAGTAACCAAAAGTATGATTGACTCTAGGTTTGAATTGATCTTGATTTTTTAATTTGGCCCTTCATTGAGACAAAATGTGGTAATTTTGGGGCTTTACTAGGAGTTTATGGATGATTCAAACAAAATTGACAGGTCTAGGACAACGGAACGGCGGGTTTGCAGCCGATGCGACTTGCAAGCGATAAGACTTCAAGCCAAAAAAAATTTATTAAAACAAAAAAAAATACCCAACATGCCAATATTTTTTTTCAAAAATAACTATGAGTTTTCTAGCGGAAATATTCCTGTTTGAGGCCTTGATATTTTTTGAATAAAGAGATAAGCTTTTAAACATGTTAAAAGTTGTTCAGAATGATCAAATAAAACGAAAATTAAAAAAAAAAGAACAATGAGAGTATCTTCGTTGCGGAATACCCAGTTTGGCCTTCTAATGTTCTTCTCCTGAAATAAGCCTTATAATTTATTTTGCGGAAAAAAGACCCAATGTTTTCAACAGGTAGATACTCCACAAAATTTTTTAACTGCTTCAATTAACTCAGTTTCCAACTCAATTACGTTCAATTCTGGCATCAAATGGACCAACAAGATGTCGGAGTTTTTGTTCAAGTTGTTAAGAAAAATTTATTGAAAATTTTCAAATTTTGGGCCCAAAGGCCAAAAACGACAAACCACCGGCAAATTTATTCACTTCTTGTGCAGAAGGACGCAATGAGATAGGTAACCGACGGGGTGCCAACTTAAAAGTCCCACTCCATAATAGATTTTTTATCGGACTAAAAATTAGGGCCTTGGTTGTCGCAAACAAAACAAAGACAACTTCTCGATGGAGTAAAAATCTTTTCCTATGTTTCAATTTTGCCACGCACTTTCAAAATTTACTTTTTCTTTGTTTTTGGAGATTCTCTTAAAAACTCAGTTTCTTTTCGGCTTATTTTTTGATTTTTTTTTGCACTTTATTGCAGAAAATCTTCAGAACTCATTGTATGGTTTGTTCATACAATTTTTTCAAACTCCTTACAACATTTCTCCAACGCTCTGATTTACCGTTTGCTGAAATTTCCCTTTTTTGGTCTTTGAGTAATGAAAGTTTTTGAAAGCGTTTTCACTTCTTCTTT